CAGAGCCGCCGCGCCTGCCTGCTCTTAAAGGGCCCGCACCCGGGAAAACTCGCCGGGCCGCGCGGCGTCCCGTGGGTACCAGCTATCACGCCCCTAACCCTCAGACTCTCCTCCCTTTGCGACCACCCCCGCCGCTGGCTTCCTCTCCCTCCCTTCCTCCCCTTTCCCGGCGTCTGCAGGCTCCCAGCAACCAGCCGCCTCCTTGCTCACCGTCCTGGCGGGCGGCCGCAAGGTGTCCGGGCCGTGCTCAGCCGCTCGTGAGCTGGGGCCCCTTCCACTGGCCGTTCCCCACACTTTCTCCTTCCCTTCCCTGCCGCCCCCTCCCCTCCTGGGCCCCTATGAGCGTCTCTGCGGCTCCAGGGAAGAGACGTTTCCTAATCTCAGGCCGGGGTTAAAGTTCTGGTCCTGGTGAGATGCTGGAAGCTGCGGCCGGAGCCGCAACCTGTCCGGGAGGTGTCCTGTCGCCTGTCGCTGCCGCCGCCACCACTGCTACCGCCACCACTGCCGCCCTGCCAGGGCCATGTTCGCTCTGGGCTTGCCCGTCTTGGCGCTCCTGGTGGCCTCGGTCGAGAGCCATCTGGGGCTTCTGGGGCCCAAGAACGTCTCGCAGAAAGACGCCGAGTTTGAGCGCACCTACGTGGATGAGGTCAATAGCGAGCTGGTGAACATCTACACCTTCAACCACACTGTGACCCGAAACAGGGTGAGGGATCGGCCTGGGCTGGGAGCTGGTGGTGAGTGGGTGAGCGGACAAGGCTAGGCAATTCTGTCGGTCCCCTATGAATGAGCTGCCTCACTGGGTTCCCGTTTCCCAGAACCATGCTGGACCTTCTTGACCAGTCTTCCTTCCTTTGCCCCCATTGTTTCTCTGAAGCTCCCACTGACAAGTTCTGAAGTTGTCTCATTCCCATCTTCTCTTTGACCCCCTCCTTTCCACAGATGTGGTCTGAACAGAACTGACTTGCTCCCAACAACCAAAATCTGGTAGCTATTTGGGGTCTGAGTGAAAGAGAAAGCCAGCTTGCTACTGGGCTTGGCCCAGAAAATCCCAGAATGACACAGGCTCTAACTGAAAGTCCAGGCAACTTATAGCTGAGGTTCCCCGGAGAGTTGAATGCAGGACTTCCCAGGCTCCTAGAACTGCTGGAACCTTCCCAGCCCTCTTCTAGCCTTAGAGAGCCAGCTGGCCTTGGAAGTTGAAGGTGGCATAGATGAGGTCAACTCCAAGTTGGGTGGGAGGAGAAAGAGAATTTGTCTACTGTGAAGAATCTACCTTACCCTGACTTCACTTTCATTTCTTTCCCAGTGGTGAGTTGAACATGGGCATAGCTAGGTCCAGGAAGCCTAGAGCTGAAGTTTGGAGAATTCTTGCAGCTCGGCTGTATGGTCTTCTGTCCATCTCTCCCCATGACTGGATTTACTAAGAAGCAGTGAGATTAAGAATGGGAATCTGTTTTTTTTTTTTCCAGGATGGGAAGGGATTTGGTTTCTATGACAGGCCAGGATCTGCCTTCAGTACCTGGGTCTTTAAAGCTTGAGCTCCTCCTGTTTAGAGCACTTTCTTTCCTTTTTTTTTTTTCCATATCTGGGGTCACCCTGAGAGCTGTGGCTTCTACCCCTCTGAAAAATTGCTGCCCTAAGGTTTCAGCTGCCCCAAAACAAGATTCACAGGATTTATTTAGTTTTATTTTTTCTTTAAACTCCTGCTGTCCTATATACTTTCCTCCATAGCACGGAGAGTGAGAGTGTTTCCATTTTATAGAGGGACAAATTGAGGCTTAGAGATGTGAAGTGACTTCTCCACAGCTAGGGATAGAATTTGACTTTCTCGGCTCTCAACAGTCCCTGTGTGTCTACCTGCTCCCCGCCCCCACCAGATTAGTTGTTGAATAGGAGCTTCTGACTCACAGGGAAGAACGCTGAAGAGTGTTTCTTGCTCTCGTGTGTGTGTGTGTACATGCACATGCACATGCACATGTATGCAGACGTGTGCATCCCATTAACATGGATAGGAATGGGGTATCCTGGAGAGGCCTGATATTTCCACTGTTTCCTGTCAGGAATTGAGGCCCTGCAGTTGCTTGAGTTCTGTTGCCCTGCTTGTACCTACCATCCAGGAGCTGGCCTCTTTCATAAGCCTCTCCTCTAAGTCAGCACTAGTCCCTCCTGGAGACTGGGGGCTGCCCTGGCAGAAGAATGGGTATGGATAGCTTCCCACCCTATCCAACGTGGAGAAAGAACAAAGCCGTTGGCGTGAGGGAGGGCAGGACTCAGTCTCTGGAGCCATGTGTCCAGGTGGCAGAGGCGGAGTCACCATGGGCTTGACTGAGGGGCATTTCCATCTCATTCTGCAGACAGAAGGTGTGCGTGTGTCCGTGAATGTCCTGAACAAGCAGAAGGGGGCTCCTTTGCTGTTCGTGGTCCGCCAGAAGGAGGCTGTGGTATCCTTCCAGGTGCCCCTAATCCTGCGAGGGCTGTGAGTAGGACCTTGGGATCAGGGAGGGGGTAGGCCTATGCTAGGCCTTGCCCAGAGCCTCACCCAGGTCCTCACCTAGGGCCTCAGACCACCCAGGAGCCCCTCTGTTTCACCTGCTCATCCCTAGAACCAGGAGGCTAGTCAGTGGCATAGGGCCAACTTAGAACCTGTCAGGTAGGGGTAGGGGGGTGGTGGAGACCAGAGTGGAGGGATTGAGGCCTTGTTCCCCTGGAGTGGCATGCTGGTTGGGGCAGTAGTCATGTCCCGACTCTCTGCTTTGGGCCATAGGTATCAGCGCAAGTACCTTTACCAAAAGGTGGAACGAACACTGTGTCAGCCCCCCACCAAAAATGAGTCTGAGGTCCAGTTCTTCTATGTGGATGTGTCCACCTTGTCACCAGTCAACACCACGTATCAGCTCCGGGTCAGCCGAATGGATGACTTTGTGCTCAGGTCTGCAGGGGAGTGAGGAGACTATGAGACTGGCCTCTTTCCCAAGCTCTGGTAGTGATCATGGGGGACTCTTCTCTGTCCTACAGGACTGGAGAGCAGTTTAGCTTCAATACTACAGCAGCCCAGCCTCAGGTAAGATTCCCCTGTTGACTGCCCTTTAAGAGGAGAAGTGGTGAAACTTGAACATAGGAATGGGAGTGGTCGGTGGTCTTTGTTGTGACTTCAGGCTGGCTGGACTCTCCCAGAACAGAGGCTCTGGCCCCAAGATGCTAAGGGGCAGATAGCCTGGGAAGTGCAGCAACATGGGCATCTGGCTTCTATCTTTTCTACTTGCCTCTCCAGCACTATCCTGAGTGCCCTGCTGAGATCAAGAGGAGTAGTATACAGAAAATGGGGCTGCTTATATAGTCACAGCATTTCTCCCTAGAGAGTCTCCACTGCCCAACCCTGAGAGAATTCACACTGTTCCCTTCTAGAAGGGCAGAGAGAGCATCCTCATGAGATGGGGCTCTCCCTGCCACCCTCCCTCTGCCCTCAGTACTTCAAGTATGAGTTCCCGGAGGGAGTGGATTCAGTGATTGTCAAGGTAACCTCCAACAAGGCCTTCCCCTGCTCAGTCATCTCTATCCAGGATGTCCTGGTAAGTGGTCTGCCCTTTTACATTCCACCAGCAGGTAGCAGGGCTTCTAAAGAGAGGGGACAGGGCCCAGGTCCCTGCATCTGCCTCTTTCTTCCTCCTCTGTAGTGCCCTGTCTATGATCTAGACAACAATGTAGCTTTCATCGGCATGTATCAGACTATGACCAAGAAGGCAGCCATCACTGTGCAGGTAGGAAATGCATATGAGCATGTGGAAGATGTGGCCGGTGATTGGCTTTCCAAACTCCTACTTTTCCCCTGCCCCATTCCTCCCCTGCCTACAAGACTAAGTCTTGGCCCATCAGTCCCTGAGACATCGGGTCCTCTGATATATGTGACAATTGAATCATAATCTCAATCGCCTTTGGGGACAGGAAAGAGCAGCATACCCTTTCTGGCTGTCATATCTACTTCATTTACTGTAATGATAGCAAGGAGAGGAAAGGGGTCCTGGCTGAGACATTGTGCCTGTATTTGGTAAAGGCTGAAACCTATGCTGACGGCAGGGGGGTGGGGTGGTCATGTTTACCTCACAACATTCAGTAGTACAACTGATGGAGGCAACATGGTCCCTCCATTTTTTCTCCTGGCTGATGCCCAGCCTGTAACAGGGCACCCATGGGTTCCATGATAGTGGGGCATACACACGTTTGCTTACCTGGCCATAGTGTAGGTTCAAGATTTGGGCTCTGGAGTCAGATAATTCTGGCTCCACCACTTACTAAGCTAACTTCTGAACCTGTCTAATAGGGATAATGATAGTACTTACCTCATAAGAATCTTTGGGAGGATTAAGTAAAATAATATATAAAGAGAGTTTAGCATAATGTCTGGCTCAAAGTGCATGTTTGGAAAAGGATGATGATGATAACATTGATGATATGTATGATGATGACGATGATAATGATATTATCATTATCATCATCCTTGTCATCCTACAGCGCAAAGACTTCCCCAGCAACAGCTTCTATGTGGTGGTGGTGGTGAAGACAGAAGACCAAGCCTGTGGGGGTTCCTTGCCTTTTTACCCCTTTGTAGAAGGTAATTTTGTGTCCTGGGTTGGCTGGGCGTGGAGAGGTCTTGGTCACTTCCTGGAAGGTAGAAAAGCCTGTGTGACTGATTGGCGGATGTGATGGAATATGGATTTTTGGCCCCCAACTCTCTCAGGCCCGGTCTCACCAACTCTAGCCCAGTCCTAGGCCACTTGTTTGTCAGTTTGACATTTTACTTCCAGATGAACCGGTTGATCAAGGGCACCGCCAGAAAACCCTGTCAGTGCTGATATCTCGAGCAGTCACATGTGAGTGTGGGTGGCTTAGTGGGGATGAACTGGCCTCTGGCTTTTCCTCTCAGACCTGGGATAGGAAGGATGATGAAGACCTACTCAAGCAGGCTGATGGGGTAGGAAGAGGGAATGTTCTTGGTAGGGTTCACAATGGGAGGGCCAAGAGGTGAGTCCCACTATAACTTGGTACAGAAAGTCTATGACTAAAGAATGAGGTACTGAGTTCTGGTTTTCTCTGTGGTACTTAAAAGCAGTATAATCTCACTGAGCCTCAGTTCCCCCATCTCTATAACAAGGGCAATAGGATCTGTCCCATTAGTCTCGCTAAATTGTGAGACTTTACACAAAATTAGTAGGAAAGTACCAGGCGCCTTAGTCATGCTCAATAAATATTTAGTGAGTGATTGAACGGAGCCCTGTGTAAACTGGAAAGTATAAGATAAAAATAATGGATGGTGATAGGAGGGGAAAGAAGCCGCCTCTTCTATCCGGATTCTTTATTTAGCAAATATTTATTTATTGAGCACCTTTTGTGTGCCAGGTGCTATGCTGCAGCTGTCGTCTTTAGGGAGCACCTGTCTAGAGGGACAGGAGCCTCTTGCTGTGCAGGGGGCTGAGAGCTGTGATGAGCAAAGAACAGGTCACTTTGGGAATGCAGGACAGAGAAGGCTTCCTAGGGCATAAAATCTCTGAGCTGTGTTTTAGGTTTAAGATAGAATTTTCAAGAAAGAAGTAGAGGAGAAAATCCTTGCAGAGGGAGCAACATGAGCACAGACAGGAATTATGTCAGAGTCTGGCATGTTTGGGGACTAGGCAATTGTTCACACTGACCGGATTATTACATTTGAGGGGAGAAGTGGTAAGAGATTTAGCTGTGTCATAATTGATGTGTTCACCTTCCTGCTTCCTTTCCCACAGCTGAGGCGTATGTGGGTGGGATGCTCTTTTGCCTGGGCATATTCCTCTCCTTCTACCTGCTGACCGTCCTTCTGGCCTGTTGGGAGAACTGGAGGTAAAGTGAAACTGTGGGAGTCTCTCCTGATCCAGAGGAGATAGGGCAGAGGGTGGGGGAGATGACCCAGAAGGGCCTGAGCTGGCCCAGGGTAATCTTCCATACCACCAGCAGGACAGGGGAAGCAGGACCCTGTTGGAATCTGTGGTCCAGGAGCCTCTCCTGGAAACCAACCCTTCCCCTCAGCCTTCTTCCCAAGCAGGGAGACCCCACATTGCTTCCTATCTTGGGAGGAACCCTGGGATCATGGATGAAAGTTATGGGGTGGAGAGGGTAGAAAGCAGGCCAGCCCAGCATAGGAGAGACCCTTGTCCTGCCCTTCTGGTTTGCCTCTGGATTCTATCCCTGCAGGCAGAGGAAGAAGACCCTTCTGGTGGCTGTGGACCGAGCCTGCCCAGAAAGCGGTACCTCCAGAGGGCCTAGGTGGGAGGGAAGAGTTTGCTTTGTGTTTTGGAGGTGATAGTGATGGATGGTTCCCTTGGGGGTTGGAGGAAGCTGTCTGTGGGCTTCTGGATATTCAGATCGGTACTAACACTACAGGTGGACATGGGGCTAGGGTACTGTGCCCATCCTTCCCTAACACGCCTGTCTGAAAGGCTGCTTCTTGATTCATTCTCTGGGTCTAGCTACACTGTCTGCCTTAGACAATGGGGCTCATAGTCTCTGGGATTATTAACCTTTCATTCTCTCTCCCTTTCTTCTGTCCCTCCCTCTCTTTCTATCCTCCCTCCTGCTTGGGACCTTCTCTCTCAGCTTCTCTCCTTGGTAAGCTCCAGGTGCTGTGGGCAGAGTTGCTGGAGTCCAGAGTTGGGGAGAGGGGGAAGCACAGGGGTGTCTGGGTGGGTTCTGGACAGGCCAATACTGTCTGTCCTTGCTGCTGGTAATTAAGGTGCATCAATTCCTTGGCCTTCCTCTCTCTTTAGGGAGGACAAAGGGTGACAAGTGTTTCCGTTGGGGACACATGTGGGAGGGAGTTCAGGGCAGGTGGTGGTGGTAGGAGTGAGCCATGTTTGCTAGGATGGTTTGCTTATTTGCTGCTGTCATGGCCCCTCCGTGTCTCTCTTCTCTGTCTGGATTCTTCCTTCTCTCTTCTCCCTGGCTTTTGGCCTCTTTTTGCTTCTAGGGCTAAAGGGACCTTGACTTCTCATTGCAGGTCACCCTCGGGCCCTGGCTGACTCCTGCCCTGGCAGCGCCTCTTATGAGGGTTACAACTACGGCTCCTTTGGTATGTGTCAACGCCAGAGGTTGTGCTGGCCCACTCACAACCCAGTCTTCTGAAGCTGCCACGTCCAAAATGGCAAATTGGCAGCCAGCCTCCTCAGAGCCCCTTGGGGATGAGTCCAGCATCCCCTTCCCTGAGGTCTGTCCTCACCGCTTATTCTGCAGAGAACTGTTCTGGATCCACCGAGGGTCTGGTTGGCAGTGCGGGCACTGGGGAGCTCTCCTACACTTACCAGGGTGAGTGGGCCAGGCAGGGCCAAGTAGTGTGATGCAGGGCTGGCGCTGGCTGGGTGAAACCTGATGGTGGGCGGTTGCCTCTTCTGCCAGATGCCGGGACAGGGAAAGACCTGCTGTCTCCCACCCCTCACCTCCTTCCGCCTTTCCTCCTTGGGCCCACTTCCCTGGTAACTTTCCCTTTCCTTTGAAGGACACGACCAGTTCAAGCGGCGCCTCCCCTTTGGCCAGATGCGGCAGCTGTGCATTGCCATGGGTAGATGTGGGGAGGGGGAGCGCTGCTCTGCCAATCAGTTCCTGCCAGGGTGGTTGACTGGAGCCGGTGGGCTCTGGGACCAGAAGGATGCTTGTGCATGGCTTCCCCATCTAATGCCAATAATTACCAACTCTTGTGTCTTTTGAAATAAGCAGGCACTGGGCTCTGATGCTGGTAGGCTGGCACCCCAGTTAGCCCTGGGCCAGATTTTCTGGTTTGCTGTCATGTTCACCAGCACCCTCACTCCCTGGCCTGCTGGAGCAGGGCTCATGGGCAGGGGTGTCATATCCTGGCCCCTGGAGGCTTTGGTCAGGCAAGGTCACAGGAGGAAGCTTCTGAAGGCACAAGAAAAGAACAGGCTAAAGCAGCAGGTGCTCTTCCTAGAGGCAGCCTCTCACCTTACCTGAACACCAGGGCCCACTAGGTCTTTGTGGGGGCCAAGGCAATGTCTTTTCAGATCCCACATGGCTGGGTACCTTCTACTAAGCATGACTTTTGCCAAATTCAGCCCTGCTGCTTGAGTCTGGGGCCCAGGGTCTGCTCAGTGTCCTGGTCTGGAAGCCTTAGCTCAGTAAAGGGGCCAGGCTGGAGCAGTCCCTGTTTGGTGGCCTCTGCAGAGCCCACCCTGTTTCGCCTCAAGGACTTAGGAGCACTTGGAACCTACTCCCAAGGCCTGGGCCTACCTCCATCCCTGCTCTGAGCCCACAGTTTGCCTCTTCCCACTACCTAGTAATTGTGACAATTGCCCCAGGTGGTTGGAGACAGACCTGGATCTGTGCCCACTGAGTAACCCTTCTCTCCTGCCCTCCCCAGACCGCTCTCTTGACCCTGTGGGCACTCGGCCACGACTGGACTCCTTGAGCTCTGTGGAGGAGGATGACTACGACACGTTGACCGATATCGAATCAGACAAGAACGTCATTCGCACCAAGGTCTGACACCTCGTGGGCCGGACCTGGTCAGGGGTTCCCCAAGGAAGGGAGGTTCTATATCAGGCTCCAGCTGGGGCAGGACAGATTCCTGAGAACTGACTCAACTGCTAGCCCTTATGGGCTGATTGGCCAGCAGCAATGAGACAGCCAAGAGCCCTGCCCTCCGGAGTCCTGGCCCCTCTTGTGTTTTTCTCACCCGAGCGAGAGGGCCCTCTCCCAGGCTGTGGGAAAGGGGGCTCACTGCAGCTTCTCCCCAGCAATACCTCTATGTGGCTGACCTGGCACGCAAGGACAAACGCGTTCTGCGAAAAAAGTACCAGATCTACTTTTGGTGAGTGGACAGGGTGAGTGGGGCTTCCTGTTATTGGTGGGGTGGGGCGGCCATTCCTCGGGTCCTGACCATTCGCCAATGCCCTCCTACTCCTCAGGAACATTGCCACCATTGCCGTCTTCTATGCGCTTCCTGTGGTGCAGCTGGTGATCACCTACCAGACGGTGAGCGGGTGGTGGCCGGTGCTCCTAGGCCCCTGCTGAGTGGCCTCTCAGACCTGTGAGCTCCCCTTTACCACGGTCTGGGACACCACCCCAAGTGTACAGCCTGCCAGTCTGGGGCTCTGGAGCAAACACAGGTCTTAGGTCGCAGGGCCTGGGTTCAAATCCCAACTCTGCTTTACCAGCTGGGTAACCTTGAGCAAGTCATTTCACTTCCCTGAGCATCAGTTTATTAATCTGCAAAATGGGGGCAGCACAACACTAATGATGGCACCTTCCCCACGTTGTTGCAGGGATTCATGTAATGAAAAGTCCTGGGACTTTCTAAGTCTCAGTTTCTCTTCTCTTTTCTCTGTATTGGGGCAAGAACCTCTGTACTGGGTCACGCCCCTGGGTTTTCAGCCATACCCAGTGAGGGGAGACAGTGACTGTGCTGAAAGGAGGACTTGCCTGGTAAATGTGTGCGCACACATACTGGCTATGGTGGCACTTCCTATCCATGGCAGATGAGACAGGGTGATGTGGCGTGGGCTAGAGCCTGCCTCCCCCTTACCCGGGCAGAGGCCTGAGTTCGGTGCTTTAGTGGCCCCGTTTCTGTTCCCATTCCCTGCCGCAGGTGGTGAATGTCACAGGGAATCAGGACATCTGCTACTACAACTTCCTCTGCGCCCACCCGCTGGGCAACCTCAGGTGAGAATAGTCTTGGGAGGCCCCTTCCCCAGGCGAAAGGTGAACCCAGGAAGGAGGCAGAGGTTCTGCGAATGCCCTTCTCAGGTTGGGTAGAGGCCAGGGTATGAGGCCGAGGTTGTGCACCCCGTGTCACCCTTCTAGCGCCTTCAACAACATACTCAGCAACTTGGGGTACATCCTGCTGGGGCTGCTCTTCTTGCTCATCATCTTGCAGCGGGAGATCAACCACAACCGGGCCCTGCTACGCAATGACCTCTATGCTCTGGTGAGGAGTGCCTGCCCTCCCACTGAGGCCTCTGCTGCAGGCGTGACCCAGCCCTGCCCACATACCCACTCTACCTACATCCCCCACTCCTCTTTCATGATCTCCCTGTTTGGGTCCCTTCCATCCTCCCTTGCCACCTCACTTCCCCTTTCTCTTCCCTTCTCTTTCTCCCCAACAGGAATGTGGGATCCCCAAACACTTCGGCCTGTTCTATGCCATGGGCACAGCCCTGATGATGGAGGGCCTGCTAAGCGCTTGTTATCACGTCTGCCCCAACTATACCAATTTTCAGTTTGGTGAGCGGGGCCTTCCTATTCCCTGGCTGAACCTACAGCAGGGACCTGCCCACGTCCTTCACCATCCCAAAGTCACCTGCAGATATCCCTGAGGCTCTGCCTCATAGGAGACTCCAGGGCTGCAGTGCCTGTGTACACACACATCCTAGCTTATAGAGAATAGGCATCTGGATGCTATTTCATTCATCTGTCGAGCCTTTCCTATGGAAAGGCAAGTGCAAGCACTGAGAAAACAAAGATTAATTAAGATATGGTCCCTGATCTCAGGGTGCTCAGACTAAGTTGTCTCATCCGGGGAAGTGAGACCACGAGTGACAGCCAGTGGGTGGCAGTGTGATGTGACAGGGACAGTTAAGGGACTGGGGGTCAGGTGCCAGCCTGCCCCAGCTTGCTCTGGGGTTGTGAGTCAGTGTGGGGGCTCTCTCTTCCACTCTGATTGTCAGGGCCGGGAGTTTTCATGCTGAGACTCGGTAAATGTTGCTGTAGCTCAGCCCTTGTCCCCCGTCCTAGACACATCGTTTATGTACATGATTGCTGGGCTCTGCATGCTGAAGCTCTACCAGAAGCGGCACCCAGACATCAACGCCAGTGCCTACAGCGCCTACGCCTGCTTGGCCATTGTCATCTTCTTTTCCGTGCTGGGCGTGGTGAGGCCCCCACCTGCTCTGCTCACCCCGTAGGAAAGGTGTACGCACGTTCACACATACGTGCGTGTGCACACACACCCTCTCTAACCTCCTTCAGGAGAGATGCCTGCTCCTTCCCTAAAGTTCCTTCCCTGGCCCCTCACAACCTGGCTTGGCTGAGCAGCTGCCTGCCTCCTGCAGAGGAAGGGTGGGCTGGGGGAGCAGCTTTCTTCAGCATCTCCTCAGCCCTGCCCTCGGTGGCCCCTGGCAGGTCTTTGGCAAAGGGAACACGGCGTTCTGGATCATCTTCTCGGTCATTCACATTATTGCCACCCTGCTCCTCAGCATACAGCTCTATTACATGGGCCGCTGGAAGCTGGGTGAGGGCATATCCAGGGCAGGGCACGGGGAGGGGACCTGCTGGGCCCCATGGAGTGAGGGGTTGGTGGCCTCAGGGACCTGGATCACAAGCAACTTTTGGGTTCACTGGGGGCCTGGAGGAGTCACTAGTGAGGAATCAGATGAGGTCTTGGCCTCGCTGTGGCCTCCAAAGGCCCCGGCTCCTCAGCTGGCACAGGCTGGGGGCCGGGGAAGAAGGACCTTCTCCTTGCAGACTCGGGGATCGGCCGTCGCATTCTCCACGTGCTCTACACAGACTGCATCCGGCAGTGCAGCGGGCCCCTCTACGTGGTACCTAACCGGCTCCCCAGCCCCTAACCTCCGTCTGCTCTCTTCCCTCTGGTGGGGCAGGGGTGAAGCTGAGGGCCCAGGGTAGGGGGGACCGACTGACTCGGGCCTTCACCCACTTCTCTCCCTGTCTCTCTTCCCCTCTCTCAGTCCCCCTGTCTCTGCTTCCCTCCAGGACCGCATGGTGCTGCTGGTCATGGGCAACATAATCAACTGGTCACTGTGAGTCTGGCCACTGTCTGTGGTCGCCTGGCTGGGTGGACACCTGGGGACTTGGCCAACCACTGGCTACCTTGGGGGCCATGGACAAATTCTAAACTTGAGGCATGAGAGGTGGGATCTGGCAAGAGAGGAGTTGGCACCTGGCGTTCTAGAATGTTCTGTGGGCCTCTGACCCCAGACCTACATCATAATAAAAATGGGGTAGGGACAAGGGCAAGCCCTTTTCTTGCCGTTGCCCTCCTCTGCTTCACTAGCCCTCCCTCCCTCTTGCCAGGGCTGCCTATGGCCTCATTATGCGCCCCAATGATTTTGCCTCCTACTTGTTGGCCATCGGCATCTGCAATCTGCTTCTTTACTTTGCCTTCTACATCATTATGAAGGTGAGTGACGATGGCTAAGCCTACTCTGCCTGCTGTCCTGTGTTTGGGGAGGGAGATCGGCACAGCCTACCCCGGGGCAGCACTGCGATGGAGGGAGAATTTTTCTGTCCATCCGTCTATGCCAGTGAGGTGTGAGGCGGGGAGAAGCTAACGTCTCTTGCATGTACCCCCTGGGAACCAACTATGTCCTAAGAGCCACTTACTGAGCACCTTCCATGTTTTAAGAATGGTCCGTGAAACTGGTAGCACTTAAGGCTACAGTTGGTAAGAACCCTGTTCAGTGTAGAAAGGGTTGAGGAGGCGGGACTCACTGAATCTGTGGCAGGCTCAGAGCTCCGAGGGCCAGGCGCTTCCGAGGGGACCCTCATGCTATCCAGTGTGAGAGGAGCACCACACATAGGGAGAGCCCCCTGGCCAATACACCCTGCCAGCACAGGGTTCTGGGCAGATGGAGCCCAGCCAGGGTAGACATCAGCAATGAGGACCGCAGGCTGCTAGTACAGGGACAAGCTGAGCTGTGTAACTATATGAGGTGACGGTATGAATCCAAAAAGGCTTCCTGAAAGCATGGGAAGGCACCAGGAAAGCAGCATCTAGGGCAAGCCGGGAAATCTGGTCGGGTGAGGCCTGGCCCTCAGGCCGCTTTTTCCTTCCTCACCCCAACTCCCAGCTCCGAAGCGGGGAAAGGATCAAGCTCATCCCCCTGCTCTGCATCGTCTGTACCTCGGTGGTCTGGGGCTTTGCACTCTTCTTCTTCTTCCAGGGACTCAGCACCTGGCAGGTGAGCAGTCATCCTGCCGAGGAGGTGGGAGAGTCACTCACAGGGTCATTTTGAGCCAACACACGGCCAATTCTCTTTTCAAACATAGTTTGTGAGCACCTCCTGTGGCCAGCACTTTCACAGTGACTTTCTTGTTTAATCCTCCTACCATGCTAGCATGAAGGGTCCCCATTGTACTTTTGAGGCAGCTGAGGCTCAGGGAGGCTAAGGGAACCTGCCCAAGGTCACATAGCTAGTGAGTGGCACAGCTTGAGGTTGAAGCTAGCCAGCTCTGTCTCCTTAGGATACCTGCCACGAATTAGATTTAGTCCTGTGATCCGAACTAAGTCTGCCACAGGCTCTGCCTTTGACATACTAATAATCTAGTTTAAAAGAAGGACTGTTAATTCCTGGGTTTCTGTTGACAATATATTGCATGAGATGAAGGATATAGGCAAGATGGACAGGGGAAAGTACAAGAGGGCAGAGTTCGTAGACCTCTGTGAGTTAAGAGGTCCAGGAAAGCTTCCTGGAAGAGGCAGGCCTTGCTCTTGGCCTTAAAGATCCTGGGTCATGGGGAAGGGCCCTGTGGCCCAGAGATGCTATGACCTGTGTAATGATACAGAGGCAGAACTAGATGGAGCAGATTTGGGGCTTAGTAAATGTACTAATTTAGGAGTCAGATGAAGACTGTGAGCTCCTTGAGGGCAGGGCAGGTCGTTCTGTGGCCGGTCTGTGCCACACGTTGAAAGCATCTCTGTGCTTTCAACGTGTGGCACAGACAGCCCCCAGACAGAGTGAGGTCCAGCCCATGTTCGTTGGAAAAAGGTGATAGGTATACCACAGAGGACCTTGACTGCCACAGGTCATGGCTACTGCCTGGCTTGGGCAGAGGTATGTAACCTGACAATTGGGCTATTGAAGAAAATGAGCCCAAAGGAGCCCTGGAGGCCTGATTAGAGCAGAGGGCAGAGTCCAAGGTGTGGACTGAGTTAGACACTAGAAGGCTTTGTGGCCTTCTGGTGTCTCAAAGTCATCACAACCCTCTGCTCTTAGTTCAAGGGAAGAAGAATCTGAGGGGTGGAAGATCGGAGTGAAAGAAAGGAGAGGGCAGAAGCAGGGAGAAATTTGTAATAAAAGCCAGTTCTTTGATGTGGGAGTCTAGGGTAGGGGGCAAGCAGAAAGGAAATGCTCTCCCTCCTGGGCTGGGAACGGGGAGAGCCCTGGACGAAGAGCGCGGTGCCAGAGCGGTGTCAGCAGGCAGCTCTCCCTGTTACTGCCCAGAAAACCCCCGCCGAGTCACGGGAGCACAACCGGGACTGCATCCTTCTTGACTTCTTTGATGACCATGACATCTGGCACTTCCTGTCCTCTATCGCCATGTTTGGGTCATTTCTGGTACGTGAGATTCTTCTGGCTGAGCGAAGAGGGTGTAGTAGAGGTGCAGGCTGTTCCCTTGCCTGTGCTTGACTCAGCATCCACCCCCCAGGTGTTGCTGACCCTGGATGACGACCTGGACACCGTGCAGCGGGACAAGATCTATGTCTTCTAGTGGGAGCTGAGCCCCCTTGCTTCATTCATGGGGCCCTGAGCTCCTATGCTTCACTGCCCGGAGCCTCTTTAGTGCCTGGGGTGTGAGTCCCAGCCCTGCTGCCCAGTGCTGGGTAGTGGCGGGACATGAGGCCTAGACCAAGCCTGGCCTGGGACAGTCACAGGGATGGCCTTGAGCCTTGCAGCTGCCCTCTGCGGGGGAGGAGGCCTGTTCCCCTTCAACCCCAGATACTGGCTAAATTGCTGCTATCTTCTCAGTGTTGGACCCTTCTGTGGTCCTTATCTTTGGCTCTCTGTTTGTCCCTCTGCAAGAGGAAGGAGGGAAGTGTTGCCCGCCCATCTCATGCGTCACATTCTGCCCGCCAGTCCCCCAACCTACCATCCCCTACCCTCGCTCCCCCACCCCTCCCTCACCCCAATCCTGGGGCCCAAAGCCATTTCTGCCTCAGTCTGGGGCCTGATTCTCTGTCCTGCACCAGGGCCCCACTTCTTTTTGGGGTTATATTTGGCTGCCATCACTGCCCACTCTGGTCAGCCAGGATAGATAGGGATGGAGGATTTTGGAGGCTGGCCAGCTGGTTCCAGGCCTTTGGTGCTAAGACCTGTGAAGGTCTGTGGCTGGCTCTTTGGCAGTGAGGGTCAGCCTATATGTGAGAACCAACTTTGATCTGAGGTGTCACCTTCTTATTACATCAGCCCCCATACTGCTGCTGGCACCAGGATTGGAAAGAAAAAGCAACTGACCCTTTTTCTTCCTTTTTTTTTCCAGGCCCTTAATCCTGCCAAGCTCCTGCTAGGGGCCTTTCAGTGCCATTGACATTACCCAAGAATGTCGAGGGGCGAAGGAGGGAGGATTCAAAGAGCCCAGCCCATCCTGCCTCCTCCACAGCCACAGGAGCCCCAGTGCCTATCTTAGAAAGGGGCTCAAGAAAGGGACATGACATTTCCCTCTATGTCTCCGGTCTCAGCCTCACTCTAGGACCGAGGGCTGGCTCCTAAATTTCCGTCCTTCTTCTGCCAAGTTCTATGTTGGTCACACACATGCGTATATGTGAAACCTTGGAGTTTACACTGAGTGGCCCCAGCTCTGGGACCTCTGGCTGCTCTGGTACTAGGGTCCCCTTCACCCTACCTGGTCCATTCCAGATGCCAAGGTTGGGGAGGTCAGGTCAAGCCTTTGCCTCACAGATGGGAATGTGTTTTATTCTCCCCAACTTGTTTTTATAGCTCTCCTTTGGGCTGGGGAGAGGAGGTGGGTCTGGATCTTTTTTCAGAACTCTGTTTAATGTCTGTTTCCATGCTACAGTTGCATTTCTGTTTTCTATGAACGAGTCAGCATTCAATTAAAGAAACAACCAGATGCAGTCTCAGGCCCCTGTTTGCTCCCCCTTTCTGATTATAGATGTTGAGAATGTGGAGTGGGTTGGAGGCCTTCCATTTTCCAGTTCTTCTGGTCTACCTTTCCCTTTTCTAAACCACAGGCCCATTGGGAACAACAGTTCCTTGGTTCCCCCATATTTTTCCTCTCCTTTGAGCAATGGCATCAATTCAGTAAATATTTATCTGGGGCCTGCTCCATGCCAGGCACTGTGTTGGAGAGGGTAGTGTACTAAAAAAGCCGTAGCCATGCCACCTCACCTGAGATCTCCCTACCCCTTTCTGGCAAATGGCAGTGGCCTCTGCCTACCTAGTTCCCACCTACCCATCAGGCAGCTTCACTTCTGGTCTGAGCCTTTCCCAGCTTGGCAGGCTGCAGGTGCAGTGCTCCCTGCTGTGGCTTTAATGAGTTAGGGTCAAGGCTGGGGTCCTGCCCTAGGATGAGGGATGCCTCAGTGGGTAGTACTCAGGGAACACAAGATGGTGATGGCTAGTGGGTGAGTGGGTGTGTGGATGACAGACTCCAAGGGGGGCGGAGTTTTGAAATTATCTTGGAAGGTTGGTATAGGTTTCAACAGGCTAAGGAGGATAAGATTTGGGGAGCGAGGAAGGTTGGTATAGGTTTCAACAGGCTAAGGAGGATAAGATTTGGGAAGCGAGGAAACTGGTGAATTCAGAACCCAACCAGAGGTCTTGGCATGCTTTCCTTGCAGATACCACTAGAGGGCGTTATAGCTCTACACACCACTGCTAGCCTGTGTGGCGTCACTTTAGGGCTTGGGGGTGGGGAACGGAGCTCCTTTCCTCTAGCAGGAAGCCTGCCAAGGGGTGAGCTCTGGAGTTAGGAGGCTGACTGCAGGAGCCAGCCCTCTCCTGGTGATGCTAGGTGTGTCTGTCGAGTGTGTGGTGGAGAGTATTAGCTCGTGCCAGGCTGCCCTAGGATGGGGGTGGGGGTTGACTCAGTGGGCCGCCCAGAGACCCCACTTGAAGTCTTTCACCTTCTTTACCTCCTTCGGTCACTTCCTGAGACCCCCTGAAGCCAATTACAAGCAAGATATGAGTGGATCTCCTTCCTGGGGTCACAGAGTCCAGTCTGTTCTCAGGACAGGTAGGGACCATTCCTAAATGGGCAGAGGAAGGGATGAGAGCAGCACCTGAGCCTCTTACCCTGGTGTTGGAGTCTCAGGCCCTGCCAGGCCTTAGAGACCCTCTGGATGGGGGCCAGGGTCAACTGAGCTGCTTCAAAACCCTTAAATCCCACCCCTGACTAAAGCCTATAACTCAAGACCCACCCCAACTGAAAGCTCTTCTCAACCTGAGCAGAGCGCCACTACTGAAAGGGTGGGTGGGACAGCCTCTCCAGCTCTCACACGGGGCTCTACGGGGAGGTCCAGGTTCTGCTACTCATGACTCATCATGTGGCCTTGTGTAAGATGTTCTTTGAGCCTCAGTTTCCTCATCTGTAAAATGGGGGTAGTGATTATGTTCTCACGATGTGGCTGTATTAAATGAGAACATTTGCAAAGTGCCTGGCACGTAGTCAGTTCTCAGTAAAAGTTACTTCCTATCTCTGACTAGAGCTAAACGCCTAGGAGGAGAGGGTGGCTGGTTTGTCCCCTACAGACCTCAGAGATGGACTCCCCTACCCCCACCCCACCCCCTTTCCTCTCTCTCTCTGGCCAGACCTTCTTAAATTTCCCCCTCCCCTCAAACTCGAGGGCAGGAAACAGTGAAGAAGGAGCAGCCCTAAGTCCAGATAGCAGGGAAAGCCTTCTGGTCCTGTCCATAAAAGGCTTTTCCCGCTGGTTCCCTGCAGGCAGCACAGCCCCGCCCTGCCCGCTCCATCTCCAAAGCACGCAGAGAATGTCTCCAGCAGCCCCAGCAGACTGCTCCAACTTGGTGTCTTTCCCCAAATATGGAGCCTGCGTGGAGTCACTGGGGGGTCTGGGGGTGGGGAACAAAGCCCATTTCCTCTAGCAGGGAGGGGGCCGCGGGGTGAGCCAGCGGGGGAGGCTGACATCACCACAGCAGCAGTCTTTAAACCCCTCATCCAGCCAGCGCCCCATCCTGTCTGTCCAAGTCCAGACAGAGCTGACTCCTTCCTTCAAGCCTTGAAGAGCCCCTGTGAGTGCATTTGTCCCCGGGTTGGAGGGAAGCTGGGCTCAGGCTTGACAGAAGTGGGTGTATTGCAGGCAGGGCTCGGGGGAGGGGTCTGGTCTCTAGGTCCCTGGCTGGGGGAGCCCACCCTCTCAGCCAGCATACATTCCTAATCTTCAGATGGGGAGGTGGTCCTAGCAAATGGGTGGGATGGGATTGCTAGAATCCTGAATTGCTTAGACTGGGCAGCCTTGGGCTCACTGAAATGCCCAAGAAGACTTGGCTGGTGAAGAAGGATTGATGATGGTAACCTGGGAACCAGTGTGAGGGGGAGACTTCCCATTTTTAGCCATAGTCATACCATAGGGTATGTGATAGGCTTGAGGTGTTGTCAGGTTAGACCCAAGGCTCTATTGTCCATTGCGCATCTAGGAAGATGGATGTCCAAGGAGGTGAGGAGGTGTGTGAGCACACTAATGCTAGAGGGTAGTGTCCCACTGGTGGGTCCTCAGGGTCTGAGCTGCATGGGGAGAACCCCTGGGAAGCCCCTGAGGCAGTGGGAAGGACCACGAAATTCTTGGATTCTGGAACAGACTGGGGTGGCAGGGTGCAGGGACAGCTGAGAGAGATGATTTTCTGGGTATATAGCTCCTTCCGTACACTGAGAATGAGAGGTCACCCTGCTACAGACAAAAGAGTGGAGTGTGGGCACTGCCAGGACCTTTGGAGCGATGGCTTGGGTGGCTGTCAGGGCTGGGCAGGCCTGGGACTCTGGGCCCTTCGGAAGAGTCTGCCTAGTCCCCTTAGTAGTTGCCATTCAAAGAGTGGTGGTGAGTAGGATCACTCTTCTCTGTTCTTGGAATTTAGATGAGCCACCCATCCTGCCATCTCAGAGATCCATAGGTGCTCACTCCTATTTTCTGAGTTTTATTTTTAAGAGAGAGGGGGCACAGCAGTCCTGGAGAGGCCTCTGGTTCTGCTAGGTTTTCCAAGTTCCTGCTGGTAGGAGGTGTCCCCTGACCTTTTGCAGCTGGACTTTGTTTTTTCTCTCAGGAGACGGGAGGCCGATGGGAACCAAAGGGCAGGAGGGTCAAAGCAGACCCTTATCCATTTTGTCCCAGGAACCTTTGTCTAGAAAGTTTCCTGGGCGGGCTTCTGTGCAGCTGTCTCCCTCCCCCTCCTCTCCTCTCCCTAGCAGCTCCAAGGTGGGACCAGGTTGGTCTTCATCGGAGGACTTTGAGGGATTTCTTGGAACTCTCCACTGTCAGACTCTTCACCAGGAGGGACCAGGGAGGGGGTGGAGGTGTGTGCATTTCACCCCTGCCCCACTTGTTCCTATCAAAATCCAAATATTTTCTCTAAATCTAAGGGTTGCAACTTTATGTCCTTGTCACCGGGAACCTTGACACCTTGACTGTTCTGAGTCTCCTGAGACTGCAACCCTGGGGGTGGGGAGAATAATCTGCTTCCATCCTGTTCTTCACATCACCAGCTTGTGTTGTGGAAGGTGGTTGGGTGGGGAATGCAAGAGGGCAGGGCATAGAAGGTAGTGCTTGACTGGGCCACAGGGATGCATGCAGCCTGACTGGCGGAGAGGGATGGGGGATGCACGGGTAAGCTGAGATGGGACGGGGAGCAGCATACAGGATGGGCTGAAATCACTTGTTCCAGCTGACTGATGGTTTTTGATCATAGCACTTTGCCCAGGAGACTTTGAGTTATTGTGAAGCAGGGGTGAGATACGAAGCAAAGCGGGGGGAATGGGAGGAACTTACTATTTATAGACAAACAGAGCAGAGCCCTCTGCCTTTGGGTTCTCTGGCATCACCGGCTGGGAGAGGGGTGGTGGTACTCAGAGAACCTCATCCTCAGAGGTGGCCCAGCCCTCACTTTATAAATAAGGAAGCAGACCCAGGGAGAAGTGAGTTGCCCAGTGCCTAGAATTTAGATGAATCTGTCTCTTGTTCTTTCTCTCAGACTTTGTTGTCCTCTCATGGCATGATTTTGAAAAGGTGTGGAGGCTGGAGGGGGAAGAACACTTACTATTTTTTTCCCCTTGGTCAGGGGCTGGCTCTCCCAGGTCACTTCCAGGAGATTAGCTCTGGGAGGCACAGGACTGGCATTTGGAGGAGCTCTGCTGAAGGACAGGCAGTATGTTAGGTAGTCACAGACATTGTCTCATCGAACGTTCACAGCCCTCTGGGGTAGATATTTTCCTCACTGAGCAGATGGGGAACTCGAGCTCAGAAAAGTTGTCAGCCGTGGGGAAAGGAAGGTTAGGGCAATGGAGTTTGGCAGGTGACCTGGGACCATGAGAAGTGACGATGTTCACTCTGCTTCCCATGGTAGCTGGTGTGGAGAGGGTCTCAGCAATGACAAGAGAGGGAGTCAGAGGAATGAGCTATTTCCATCCTTAGACCATTCTTTCCTTCCCAACTTGTGACCTCTCTGAGGCCAGGGATGGGTTTGGCCTCATTTGGTACCTCTTCGGATGAACTCTGGGCACCACCCCACGTTGATACCTGTGGCCAGGCTAGGCTCCTCTTGACCAGCCATGCCCATGTCTGCTTGGCATCCACCTACCCGGCCTTGCCCCTGTAGACTTAGCCTCCATCAGTACGGCTCCCTTGAGCAGGGCCAGTCTCGGGCCTTCAGGGCAGCACTTGTTGCTGGTCTGGACAGGCAGGTCCTTGGCTTCAGGTTTTCCCTGGAGGATTTGGCTTCTTGGTTACTCAGGGGAAGCTACTACAGTGGTGAGAAACGGCATGAAGGAAAGTCCATGGGTAGATCAGTTTGCGTTTCTCTCTTTCTCTCTCTTCCCTGTGGCTCCCCTGAGGAAATGCAGCTTCTTGGCCAAGAGCTCTTGGGCTTTGCTGTCTTCCTAGACCTTGCCAGGGGTAGATAAGTTTGAGCCTTTTCAGCTGCAGGCCAGAGGCTGAGCTGACCTGGCAAAGAGCTAGCATTTTTGAGTTCCAGCTTCTGGGCTAGCGGAGACATGAGTTGGAGGTAACCCCATAACCTGAGACAGCCAGTGAACCGCCTCACACCTAGCTGGAAAAAGACACCTGCTGGCTTTATTTTGGGGGACAATGTGGCTTCCTCCAGAAGGCCTCTCCAGTGTATCTGTGGCCAATCTTGGCAAAAAAAGAATGCTCTGGATTAGGGATTGTCAAACTATGGCCCATAGGGTAAACACAGCCTGCTGTTTGTATAAAGTTTTACTGGAACAAAGCCATGCTCATTTGTTTATGTACTGTTTAAGGCTGCTGTTATGAAACAATAGCAGAAATGGCCTGCAAAGCCTAAAATACTTATTGTCTGGTAATTTACAAAAAAGCTCACTGACCCCTGGCTCCAGAATGCCCAAGATCTGGTCTCCTGTTTCTCCGGTCTCCAAGTTTGGAGAAGCCCCTGGCCTAGATGGGCAATGCCATGAAAACAATATCAGGAAGAAAGGGGAGAAAGATAAACATCTAGGAGGGTTGGGCAGCCACAGAGCTAGACCTGCCCGGCACAAGTGAAAGTGGGGCTGCTCTCTCACCCCGATCTTCCCCGTTGCTGGCTGGTGCTGCTGTAGCTCTCCCTAAACATGGCCAACAAGGGACCTTCCTACGGCATGAGTCGTGAAGTGCAATCCAAAATTGAGAAGAAGTACGACGAGGAGCTGGAGGAGCGGCTGGTGGAGTGGATTGTGGTGCAGTGTGGCCCTGACGTGGGTCGCCCAGACCGCGGGCGCCTGGGCTTCCAGGTCTGGCTGAAGAACGGCGTGGTGAGTGACAGCCTGGGAAGGGGAATGGGGCTGTGCCGCCCTGCTGGGGTCATGGGGCAGGCACCCTGAGCCAAGTGTCAAGCTGTGTTCTATGCTTGGCAGATTCTGAGCAAACTGGTGAACAGCCTGTATCCTGATGGTTCCAAGCCAGTGAAGGTGCCTGAGAACCCCCCTTCCATGGTCTTCAAGCAGATGGAGCAGGTGGCTCAGTTCCTGAAGGCAGCTGAAGACTATGGAGTCACCAAGACTGACATGTTCCAGACTGTTGACCTCTTTGAAGGTACAGAGAGAAAAGGGGTAGAGGAGGCAGGTGAAGGACAAGTTACTGAGGCAGGGACAAGGGATGACCAAAGCATGCCACGCTGACGGGTCAGCCTAGCAGGTAGGGGAGACCGCACCACACTTACAAGGGCATACCATGTGACCTACTGAAGCCTCTTTGGATTCTGGGACAACCTTTGCCCCTGGGTTGGCCATTTTTCTGAGAGGTGCGAGCAGGCCTTGCCTTGGGACTCTTCTTTACAGTTCTTAAGTTCGTCTGCCCTCCCCTCTTTCTTCTCACAGGCAAAGACATGGCAGCAGTACAGAGGACCCTAATGGCTCTGGGCAGCTTGGCAGTGACCAAGAACGATGGGCACTACCGTGGAGATCCCAACTGGTTTATGAAGTATGTGGCCACTGTCTGCATGAGAAAGGTGTTGGACTGGGCTAACCCATTAGTGTGAGTGACCTGGGGAAGCAGATAGCTAGGAAGGGACAAAGTGAAGGTCTAGGATAGGGGCGAACGGGTCCCCGATGCTTCTTAACTTCTCCCTCTTGTGCTCAACCAATCTCCCTGGCCTGTGGGAACAAGCTAGATTAATGAACAAGGGGAGTGAAACAGGGAGGCAATGGGATTGGGCTAGGAAGTAGCAACAAACATAAAACAGGTGGAAAGTATGAAGTCCTGGCAAGTCTTTATCCTGGTTCCTCCTCTTCTAGGAAAGCCCAGGAGCATAAGAGGGAATTCACAGAGAGCCAACTGCAGGAGGGAAAGCATGTCATTGGCCTACAGATGGGCAGCAACAGAGGGGCTTCCCAGGCTGGCATGACGGGCTACGGACGACCTCGGCAGATCATCAGTTAGAGGACGAGGGCCAGCCCCCAGTCCTTTCCTGCCCCGGCTCATTGGCTGCAGCCATCTATCCTGCCTAGCCCACCTCACCCACACCCGTGTAATTCCTTCAGCCCCGGCCAAGCTTCGAGTCTCCGAGGCTCTGTCACTGAGCAAAGGTGACTTGCGCTTGGGCAACTCTCCCCACCCTCCTCAGCCTCAGCTGAACTTCTTACCCCAAAGCACTGCTCCCTGGGCCCTCCTTCAACCTCCCACCACCTCTACTGAGCTGAGCAAGGGGGTGTGGGCTGGGGGTGGTCTGGGTGTGGGGCAAGTCCACTGCGCTCCTTGGCAGCAGATGCCCATTGAAGGAGACCCAGCCCAACCTCCCCCCATTTTTTGCTGGAATATTTTGGGGGTTGAAATTCAAGAAGGAAAAAAAAATATATATATATATCTATATCTATCTATCTATCTCAATCTTTTCTCGGGCCTGGCTGGTAGAGTTTGATTTGCCCTAGTCACTTCCGTGTGGTTTCGGGAAATACAAACAGGGAACAGGGCCACCTGTGTTGTCCTGGTTGCCATCCTCTGAAGGACTCTTCACATTCCAGGATTCCAGGGGGTCAGATTCTTTCAGACAACCAGGCAGTGGAAGAAAGTGAATCTCTGGGGGACTGACAGGAAGGAGGAACTACTTGGCAACTTGCATTAGCTCTGGGGAGGCAGAGGAAAGGAGATGCAGAATGGCAGAATTGTGTGGAAGGTTTTTATTCTGGAAAAGCTGTGCAGAAAAAAATTCAACGAAATGTTGCTGTGAAGAGAAAACCAAGCCTTAAGTGTTCACTTTGCAGAGGAAGACAGGATGGTAGCAGGGTTGGGGCAGCAGTGGCTGATACCTGCCACAGTCCTGAATAGACTCCCCTAGTGAAGCAGCACAGCCCTAGGTGCTGTGCCCATTCCCAGCTTTGCCAGGAGCACTGTACCGGTCCTTCGGGATGAAGGGTGGGGGTGATGGTGAAGGAGTCAGGGGTGTGTTCATGGTTGGCTTCTGATCAGGCAGCTGCTTTCAGGGCAAGTGTGCTGGGCTGAGAGCTGATTGCCATACCAGAATGTCCAAGGTCCAAGTCTTAGGTAGGAAGGCAAGGGAGAGAGGAAAAGCCTGCTGTTTCTCGGTTCCTGGGTCATTAGCAGGATGTGCATATCCAGGGGCTCTTCCCAGAATCCATCCCTGAGCCCTTTTCCCAAGTGACCCCAGTGATATTTCTGCTGAGATGCTCTTCTGGCCATGGTGGGTACCTTCTCATCCATGCATGGGTGAGGGTCCCTATGACCTATACCAATGACTTGCCCAGGAGAAATGAGGATGGAGGCCTGCCCAATGGGGAACAGGGGACAAGCTCTCGTCCAAGACCTTGGCAAAATCTCCTGTTCGGTTTGAGGAAGATCCTGTGGCTGCTGCCACACTGCTCTCCAGCACCATTCCTCTGCCAGTTGTACCTTAAGAAAGCCCCAGCCCTCCCTGAGCATAGACTCCGGACTCCAGCTGGAAGTATCAGGACGACCTTCTCCTGAGAGCTCCCAGGACTTCGGAGCAGCTTTCAGAGCTTCCCCAATTTGGGGAAGGAGGAGCCTACTCCATGTTGAGTCTGTTAGGCCCTGGGTCAGCAAATCTCCTCCTTCCCCTGCAGCAGGTCTGGGGGTATGTGCTGACGAGGGCAGTCCAGGGCACTCCTGTTCTGGGACAGGCTCCAGTCTCCTTGATCCAGCAGGTCTGGGACAAAGAGACCAGAGGTGGCAGAATGGCCTTCACTCTCTGTCTCCACTCCATCTGGATCCTTGCTGTTACAAAGTGGCACTGATTCTAGTTCTGTCCCCTCTTTCCTGGCTTTTCGGCTTCGTTGGGGCCAGTGGCAGGGTCCACTCCTACAAACCGGGTGAGAGGCCACATTCTTCTGGTTCAAGTATACTTCTAGCATGTAGTATACTGTCCATAAGATGGTAAAACAGCCGACCAGCAGCAGGGTCTGCGGGGAAAGTCCACCACCTAAGTTAGGGACAGTTTCCCAAAGCCCACAGCCTTTCTCAGCCCAGAACAATGAGCTCAGAAAGTTTCTCTCCTACTAGAGAGACTGCCTTTCCCACCCCAAACCACTCACCCACATACACAAGGAATGCCCTCTGAGAGTTAACTAGCAGAGGGGCGGCCCTGGTCTTCCCACCCCTTTTCTCTGGGGACCAACTAGGGACCAACTTTCCCAGGACCTTCCTGCCTGCCTTTAGTGTGAGTCGTGACCCTACTACCTTGAGGGTGTTAGGGGTGATGGTGTAACCATCTTCCTCAGGAATTTTCAACCCAGGAGGGCAGGGCAGAGTGAAGCCATCATGCAGGTATTTTCCACTCATGGCACCTTCTAATAGTCTGTGAAGAAAAGAGACAGGGATGCCCTGCTGATGTCACCTGCCCTCACCCATCCTCCCACCTTATAACTGAAGAGGGAAGCCCCGTGGCAAAAAGAGGAGGGATGTGCTGTGGGTTCCCAGGGAGGTGGAACTTCCTGAGTGGCCTCTTTCTCCAATTCCCAAGAGTTGCCTTCCCTCTGCCATGTGTCTATACCTACCTTTGTCTGTCCCTGATGTCTACCGGACTCCACACAGAGCCATATAGGGTCAGCTGCCATTGCCGGAGAACGCCAGCCTGGAAAGTCTCATTTCCTAGGGCAGCAAGTGAGCCACACCCCGCTGGCCATGAAAACAGCAGAGGCCCTTCCCGCCCCACCACATGGTCTGCTGCAGTTGTCTGTGTCCCACTGACCCCAGGGTTCTGCAGATGTGTCTCATGGGGTGCCCTCAGGGATGGGAAGGGGAAGTTGAAGGGTGGTACTCCGAAGCAGAGTTGTTTTGCCTTTATCTCTTTATCATTTTGGGGTTTCAACTGAAATTATGCTTGGAAAAAAGAAGTCCTACTAAATGAAAGAAAGGTCTGAAAACCACTGGTCTAGTGAATACCTAACTGGAAGGGTTGAGTTCAATTTCCAGTCTCCTCACTAAAATACCGCATGACATTATTATGCAAGTCACTTCAAACTTCTGGGTGGGCCTCAATTTTTCCAAAATAATGGTGGAAATTAGTCCTGCCCTTCCCTGACTACCGGGGCTGGCCAAAGGATAGTTACATGTGAAAAGACTTGAAATGCAGTTTCAACAAGGAAGGTTTGTTGCTATCCTGAGGAAAAATGGATCAGTCACTTCTCCAGGGAATATGAGAGGTAGTATAAATGAATAATGTTAGATATTAAAGCCCCTTTTTTGGATGAGCATACTTCTTGGTATCTTCCTTGTCGGTCCAATGGCAACTCTATGTATTCTACATGGGGCAATTTCTGTGGGGACTCTGAGATCTAGAGGGACCAGACGACAATCACAAAAGGCAGAAAGTCAGGGCCCTGATGGAAGGACAGGCAGGCTCACCTACATCCCTGACAACGAGTCTGTAAGTCCCTCTCGCTCTTTCCCCCCAGCATCGCACAGTGGAGAAGGTCCAATCATTGAAGCCATTTGGATCCCTGGGGGAAAGAACAGAACAGAAAACCTGGAAGGCCTGGAGCAGGCAACTGACCCTTTTGCCAAGAAACATCCCTTTCTTACTATAGTAGCCATGAAAATGTAGCAGTCGTTGTCTGAGCTATAGCTATTTGGGAGGGTGCCATGAAGAGTCCTCACATGCTGTCCCTTGCACCTGGGATCTCATGGGATGAGGGACTTGTGTCAATGTGTTGTAATGGAAAAAGCAAATGTGGAACAAGCACAGGCTGGGAGTCAGACAGATCTAGGTTTAGTGTTACTTTCTCAGGGACTTACTAGCTCTGTGACTTGTTTCCTCATTAGGAGGTCACAAAGTCTACTCTGCATGGTTCTTATAAAAATTAGAGAAAATATATGTAAAGCACCATGCTTAGCACATTGTAAGCACTTGCGCAAAACATGTAACGAATGGCTTTCAGCTGCCAAGGTCAGTCTTGGTAACTTAGGACAGTGCCAGCGTCCACTTTGTCGGTATCTCTTCCTCGAAAAGGCCCTTGCGGCAAAGAGCTCAGAAGGTATAGGCAGGTATACGTACGAGTCCATGCTGCGGGGGGCGCCGATAAGGGACATCATGCCACTGGGGCAAAAGAGTTTCAGCTCCAAGCTGCCACGTCGCGGGTGAGTGATAGAGACTGTCACTGCCACATGCTCCAGGGTCTTCAGCCCCGACATCTCCAGGTCCATCCTGCTGACTGTAGGAAGTCAGGCTGGGCAGCTGGGAAACCAGCCCCATAAACACTTACGCTCTTACTTCACCCCAACATACACAAAGGCACATGCTTATTGAAGGCACATATGAATACCCATGGCAACCCTGACTGGGGCCTCGTGTACATGAGTAAGTAAATGCAGTGGCTGCTTTGAAAGAGTTTATAATCTTGTGTAGAGTCTAGTTGGGAAGACAACACATACTGAAAACACAATATAAGAACCAAATGGAGCAACTTCAACCATTCATTCATCCAAAAAATAATTTACTGAGTACCTCCTACATTTCAGGCACTGCACTAGGTGCTGGAAATATAAAGATAAGTTGGACATGGTCTCTGCCTTCTACCTGCAAGTGGAAAATGATATGGCGTGAGGTATACGTAACTGATACTAGAACAGAGATGAGTCAGATAGGTTTAGGCACATAGCAGTTAGACACTCTGAAGAGAGAAATGAATGTAGATTGGCAGAGAGGGCTGGTAGAGGGTATTCTAGAAGGGAAAATGGCATGTACAGTGGCAGAGGTGGAAACAAAACAAGTTTCATATTGAAGGGAATACAGAATTTTAAAAAACCTACTGAAGTAGATAAACTTCAAGGAAATTATTCTGAATGAAAAAACCAAAATCAAAAGAATACGTAGTACATGATTTCATTTATGTAATCCTCATGAATAACATAACTAGAGAGACGGAGACAGATCAGTGGTTGCCGGGCTTTAGCGATAGGTGTGTCCAAAAAGGGGTGACACGAAGTAGTCTTGTGGGGATGGTACTGTTCTGGATCTTGGTTGTGGCAGTGGTTACACAAGGCTACACATGTGGTAAAACTGCACAGGGCCACACACACAAACAAATATGAGTGCATGTCTGGTGAAATCCGAATAAGCTCTCTGGATTGTACTAATGTCATTTTCATGGTTTCAGTATTGTACTATAATTGTTTAAGACATTAACATCAGGAGAAGGGTACCGGGAACTTCCCCGAACATTTCTTGGCAACATCCTGCGAATCTACAATTACTTCAAAAGAAAAAGTTTAAAAAAATATAAACTACCAAAGTAGAAGATTCAACTAGGGAATATTAAGAAATCAGGTTGCAACAAGAAATAATTCTTTCTAAAGCACCTTTTCTTCTATTAATTCATTCCAACAGGCAAGGCAGAGAGCAGTAACTATTTTACAGACGAAGAAGCTCAGAGAAGTACTGAAAGTTGGGGCAGGGATGAGAAGGGCTTTAAAAACTTATTTTAGATCCTTTTGTAGTTCATAAGTGTGATGACTGGGTGTTCACACTCTTGTGTGAGATGTGCCTCCTTTAAACCTCGTTACAACATCGGCGCATTACCCATCTGACGTAAAAAGGAAATTTGTTTTACATAAGCAACCAAGAGCTATTACAGATTATTGAACAAGGATGAAGTTTATCGTGTTTTGTTTGTTTGTCTGTTTTGCTTTTTAAGTGCTTAAAGAAGGTTACTCTTAACAGCTCCGGGTGGAATGAATTGGAGTAGGAAAAAAGAAACTGGTGACAGGAGAGATTAATTTTCTTTAATTCTATCTGCCAACTCTTCAAAGCCAATACCCTCCCTTCTCTGAGAGCTACTTCCTGTCCTTCTACCTTCCTCAGTCCCTTCCCGACCCCTTTATCCATCGGCCTTCTCTTTCTTACCCGGCTAGGATCCCACAGCTCATCTCTTTAGCACTCTCTTATTCACATCTCCAGCTCCCTTTGCTTTCTTTTCCTTTCACAGTAACTATCTGGCAAAAGCCCCAAACTGGATCAGCCCAATTATCCCCTTTCTTGGCTGGATCTTCCCGCTTATGTCTTTCCTATTACAAATGAAAAACAAAAACAAACCCTTTCTCAACTCACTTCGTTCTGCCTAGTGTTAGCAATTTGGACTCTAGAGCCATTCAGCCTGGGTTCAAATCCCAGCTCTGCCATTTACGAGCTGTGAGAATTGCATTAGTTTCCTTAGCTGTACAATGGGGGTAGTAACAGTACCTACTTCATAGAATTGATAAATTAGTTAATGTACGTAAAGTGTTTAGAACAGTACCCAGTAAATAAAAAGATTATATAAGTGTATTACTCCTTTTTTTTTACTGTTCAACTTCTTGAAAACGATGCCTGTATTCACTATCTCTACCCTCCCATTCATTCTTAACATTGTTTTTTCCTATCAAAAAATTATAGTGTACATGGTTTTAAAAGTAAACTGTTTCTGGAGTGCTTATAATATAAAGGAGCAGTTCCTTACCCCGTTCCAAACAATCTTTGTCATCCGCTCCCCACAAACCAACACTTATTACTTTTAGTTGTTTTCTTCTGGGATCTACCTTCATGTTTCTAAGTAATAAGCATGTATGGGTAGCTATTTCATGATTTATCAATTTTACAGATTATTTATTGATTTTCGGTTATAGCAGATAAGGATTTAATATCACACCCATACCTTCTCCCCACTTGGCCCTCTCCTCTGCCTTCTCAAATTATATCACAATTTTTCGTTAGATCGATATTTTATTTACCGTACAATGACGTTATAAATATGTGGAATTTAGCCAAGTAGTGTACAATGATTATATTTCATTTCCTGAATTTGATTTTCCCCTCTGGAGTTAATTGTCCCGTTGCTTCGTTTACTTGAATTCATGCCCCTATCACTATTTCTTCCCAAACTCCACAAAAGAGCCACCTAACTTCTCTGAATACAATTTTACAAACAAACAAACAAGTCAGGGGCTCCCCCTCAATGCCACTGTCCCACTGGAGAGCCTCTCCCTGGAGCCTTCTGTGCCATTCCTCTCTGCTGCACTGCTCTTGGGTTGGGACCTTCCTTGACCTCTCACTTGGGCTTTGCTTCCTCTCTCTTCCCCTTCTCTCCCTTCTCACTACTCCACTTCCCTCCCTCCCTTTTCTTTCCTCCTTTCCTTTTCTTGGTTTCCCCTTCACTGCAGAGGAAACCATCTTCTAGCAGTTTTCAGACAAATGTGTGTGTGTCTGAAAACATCCTTATTCTACCATCCCATATGATTATTAGTTAGGCCGGGTTTTACCAACTGAAAATAATTTTCCTCAGAATTTGGGAGGTATTTGGAGGATATTTTCAAATGGCCAGTGGTCCCTATTATCTTTGAAAGCCAGCTGGAAGCTCTAACTATGGGGTGGAGCTTTTTCAACTGGTGCGCTTCCCTAAAGGTAACTGGACTGGGACAGGGCTGTTTCCTGGAGGGACCCACATATCAGTATCTCTAAGTCTTTCGATGAGGGATCCTTACATTTCTCCAAGGAGGAATCTTCAAACCTCTTGGCTGCTAGTGCCTTGGGACCTGAGTGGCTGCTTGGTAGAGAGGGTCCCCCTCTCTCAGTACACTGTCTCTCACTTTCTGCTGTTCCAGGGGTCCCTGACTCTGGAAAATAAACTTCCCAACTCCTGCCCGGATAAGGAAGGGGCTATCTCCTGCCTACTAAGGATGGGAGAAGGTCTTTGGGAGTTTACCTCTTAATTGATCCCTGTTTTTAGTCTCATACCTCGTCTCTGTCCTCTGGAGAACACGGGGCCTCCAAGTCCTGAGTCTTTGGGATTCTGTGGCGTGAATGGGCTTGTTTCTTAGTATCGCCCTTGCAGGTATTTGCTACGCAATTTTCTTAGCCCTGCTCACTTCTCCATTCATTTCTATCTTCCAAAAATGTGATGAAATCTCTCATTTGCTGTGGTCTCCTCTCTCATTCACTTTGTCCTTATGCTTATACCATTTTTATTCCTTTATTCTTACTTTGGTGAGGTTTTGGGAGAAAGCAGAGATAAAAGCATGTGTTCAATTTGCCATCTTTAATCAGAAATCTCCTGTCCCCATGAACTATTCAACCAACTGCAAGTTAGCTTTTGCCCCCTATGAATACATTGAAACAGTTCTTCTCAAGGTCACCAATGGCCTCTTTGATAAGGCCATCTCTTCTCAGTCATTTCCTTCAGAGGCTCTTTTCTTCTGGCCACTGCTTTAACGTTGGCTGTGTCCTGGGTCCTCTTTTATTCTTTATCTACCCACCAAACCTTGTGACCTCATTCTTTCTCAGACCTTTTTACTTCCATTTTTATGCTGATGACTCCCAAATTATTACTTTCAGTCTAGACCTTCAAACTTATTTATTCAACTGCTTCCTGGATATAACGTTTAGATAATGCACAGAAGCCTAAAACATGGCAGAACCAAAATTCTCTTCCTCAGTTTTTCACACTCTGTAGCCCTTGCCCAAATCTGTTCTTCCTCCTGGGTTCTTAATCTCATTTGATGGCATCACCATCTAACCAGTTGCCCAAGCTAAAAAAACTTAGAAATCTCTTTATATATTAAAAAAAATATATAATACTTATCTACATAAGTATATTTATATATACATTTATATATAAACGTTTAGTATAGGAAATTTCAGACATATATGAAAGCAGAGAGAACAGATGTGCCCAACACCTAACTTTAATAATGATCAATATATGGCCAATCTTGTTTCATCGATGATCCCTACTTTTTCCCCTTCCCAGATTCTTTAAATGGAATCCCCAGGCGTCACAACATTTCATTGATAAAGATTTAGTATGTATCTCTAAACAATAAGGCCTTGGGAATCTCTTTGACTGCTCTCCTTCTCACTTACTGCTAATATCAACTGGTGACAATTTATCTGGAGGGTTCCCCACAGACTTCAAGACAAAGTCCAAACTCCTTACCATGGCACACACGGTTTTCTGGCCCTGCCGCCTGCAATTTCAGATCTTCCTCTGCCCCTCACACCCCATGCTCCAGCCATATCACGTGACTCGCAGCTCCCTGAAGACTGCATTTGCATTGACTGTGCACATACTGCCCCCGCTGCCTGGATGTCCCATTTTCACCTCTTCTCCTAGCTAGCTCATATGGTGAAACTCAGGTCAGTCACCAGTTTCTCAGAGAACCCTCCTCTGTCTTCCCTAGTGGCAGGAGGCATCTCTCCTCTGACACCAATGTCATCTCGACTGCAGTGCTTATAATACCGCACTCTACCTGCAGGCTGGGCTGTTTTCCCTGCCAGATAGTGAGCTCTCTAAGGGCAGAATCATGCCTTACCTCTGACTCCCCGCAACCGAATGCGGTGCTGGGACAAGGCAGGGGTCACATATTTGTAGAATAAATGAATGAATCAATTAAGAGACACTTCAGGGAAATAAATAAAAGACTAAATTGCAGGGG